GTTAAGCTGGGCCCAAACAACTTGAAACAAACAAACCAAAATGCCGCAGCTAAAAAACCCCGAGCAAATAACAAGCAGAAAACAAACAATAACAAACAACAAACGAGAAATGGTTTGGTTTGTGAACAGAAGCCAATTTACCCTCACAGACCGAAAGAAAGTCCAAAAGAGGGTCTGATATAGTTTCATGCGAGTAGATTGAAAGATTTATATCATGGAAAATGTCTTACAAATGCCACCGATAAACTGAACATTCCTCATTTTAAAGTACCTTGAACTGTGGGTAAAAGTGGGGATGAATCGTAAGAAGCGAGTTACCAAATTGTTATTTATTTACCAAAGATTTTATTGTCAATCTATATTATTTACAAATCAAATAAAACTTAAAGCGCAGCAATCGTCACAAAAATGCTTAAAATATCGTTACATACATTTTACATTTAGTTTTATTACATATAAATGTTATCATTATATATATATTTTTTTTTAATATATAGAACAGTTACACAAACGTAAAACGAATTTGTAAGTTCTATGATATATTCAAAAAAAAATTATCAGCTATACAAAATTATTTGAGCAACGTTAAAAAAAGAATAACGAAAATAAATAAGACAAGGAAAAAAGTTGAATGTTTTATATACATTTATATAAGTAGTTTTGAGTCTCGGTCAATGGCAAACCCCTCAATAAATGGCCTATACCTTTTGGGCAGAGGTATGCAACCAAATGCAAATGCAGGGACGACTGGCGGATCATTTGTTGTTGCCTTTTTGGTGGCTGCTCTGTTGTCATTATTTATTTATGCCCAAAACGTTTCATTTTCATTTTCATTTGGCTTTGGCCAAAAGGGAGTCATCGTAGTTGCCGTTGCCGTTGTTGCTGTTGCTTTTGCTGTTGGTCTGAAACCTGAAAACTGGGTTACTGGCGCCTGTTTCGGGCCACAAGATCGTGTCATGCGATTTCTATCTTTGTGTGACTACGAAAGCGACAACCACAACGATGTCGAACGCTGAAGAAGAAAAACCCCGAAATTCGAAACAGAAACAGCCGACAACGGAGAATGAGAGCTGTGTGTTGTGTTGTGTTGTGTTGTGTCTGCAAATCGTTGGGTAGTTCGTTTTGAGACTGCAACTTAAACTGGGTACTGCAACTGCGCCGTTTCGAAAACAAAAGTAAAGTGTTTGCGCCTGCGGCGTGGGCAGGAGTTGCCTTCGAAATGGGACATATAGTGCGCCGATCTCTGACTCACAAGCGCCAGCTCTCGAGGCGGTAGCTGGAGCCTCGAGCCTTGGGAGTGGGTCATTCAAATCTATCACAGATGTTTTTTCCCAGTTTTTGGGGAGATTAAGGGTGTGTGTCTATAGGGCATTTATCGTTACTTCTTGACTTTGTAAGCAGAGGGAGAAAAATATCAAAACAGGACTACCTCTATCCACGATTTTTTCTGATATACTGACAAAAAAAATATTAAATCACAGTTTATTTACTTTTGGTATAAAAATGTAATTCAAGAGTTGGAAATATAGATGGAGTAACCGTCAGAAGCATTTAACTGATGATGCTAAATAACATGGTATATATTTACAGTAAAATTTGCGTATATTGGGTGGTAAATTACATGGTTCTGTTTTATTTAAATTCCCAATAAACCAATCTTTTAGGTTACCTTAAATTATTAAAAGAAAGTTTTATATGTTGTACATAAATATTCAATCGCAAAACAAATTAAATAATACTACAAAATATATTTATTTATAATCGGGAGTAATTTTGTAATTAAATTATATTTCTTTAAATTATACCATATTTTTGGGACACACCCAATTTTGGTGTTGTTAGTAATTTATTCAAAATCGTTTTAATTCTCTCCGTGCATCTTGCAGAGTGTGTGCCGGGTTCCTCAACAGTCGCCCAACAAAGTAGTCACGAATTAGCGCAGTTCACATGGGAATGCAGCAGGATGGTTGGGGGGCATTGGGTAGGGCTAGACACACATGGCCAAGAATATGCAGCGGCAGTCGCAGTTTCAGCTGTTGACACACTCACACATCCGTAGGAATGCATTCTGTTGCAACAGCGGCTGGAGTTCGTTGCCTAAGTCTTTTGTTTGGCTGACGCATGAGCGAATGAACTCGAGTGGCTGAGTGTCCGGGCTGATTTATGCGCCTGACCGCTCCACAGTCGCACCACCTACTCACTCGCACTCGCATTTCCATTTCCATTTCCACCTCCATTTCCCTATTAGTATTTCCAACACCCCGAGAGCCCAGTTATCAACTGATAAGTAGCTTATGTAATGGCCCACGAAAATGGGTTAAAAGTCGCTCTGACAGTTTAATTTGACACTTTTTGGAGCCTCCGTCTCGGTTTTGGTCTCACTCTCACTCTTTCCTGCTGTCTCCGCTTTTGTTGGAGAGCACGGATGACAGAGTGCTTTTTGTTTTGGTATTTTCTTTCATATTTGCTTAACAAGATTGTGTGTATTGAATTGTCATTTCTCTTGACAATTTAATTTGGATTATGCGGAGGCTACTGAACACCAGCTCGGTGCAGCAGGGAGTGCAGATCGGATCAAAAGGCAGAGGTAAAAAAGATTGGGTCACCGACTTGACTGGGGACTGCACAAAGCAAAAATAAAATAAAACAACGTGTCATCATAATTTCTTAATAACCATTTCATTGTAACAAATAATTAAAGTTTTTATTTCATTTTATTTAAAATGTTTTTACCCTTTGTGATATTTGCTTAGAGTAGCTCTGAATATTTGCTGAGAGTAGCATTGCGTAATGAGACTTTCTTGATACCCAAATAATGTGATTCTTATTCATTTTATTAAAAATCCAATACATTTTTTAAGTCACATTAAGTTTAAAGCTAGCAAATATTTAAATTTTGTGCTTAGCGTACCTTATACATTTTTATTATAAGATTCCTAAAATATACATTCATTATTTAAGCCGAACAAGTGCTTTAACATATTTTTCTAACGGTAAATTCTAAATTTTTTAAGAAAAGTAATGAAATATAGTTACTTATTTTATCAATGTTCATTCAGTTTAAGTAATTTTTACAGAACTGTAATTTTTTTTAAGAATATAAAATACTGCAAATAAACATTTGATCAGAAAAATAAAAAGCGGCTCTGGTCTGTTTTTGTGTTTGTGTTTTTGCCGAGTGGTAGAGGGCCTTGTGTACCTGACTTTGGCTTGTGGCGCAGGCACGTTTTGGGCCAACTGCCGACCGGCAGAAACAAAAGGCTCTGGCAAAACGCATTGAAGAAGTCACCAGCAGCGGGCAGCTGAGCTGAGGCCCCGAAAAGCCGAGAGCCAAAGATTATTAATGGCTGGCCTCCTCCAGCATTTCCGTCTTGACCCAGGTTATGCAAAATGTTGGCAAAAGGCCAAACGAAAGCAGTCGAAAAGTAGAAATGTTTGCCTAACAAATGATTGCTATTTGCAGCCAGCAGCAAGTGCGTTGCCGCTTTAACTGAAATGGAAATGAAAAGGAAAAACATTAATTGAAATCCGAAAAATTCGAAAATGCGCATGCGCATGCGCACAGAGCACTGTTAACTCGGTGGGCGCTGTTAAAACTGGTCGAAAAGTGCCTTAAAAATGGTCGAAACGAAACTGTAGCAGGAAGCTCTGTTAAGGCATTGTCTTTGGTGATTTCTTAGATTTTATCGTTGCCTGTTGCATAAACTTATTGATTTGCCATGCTTGTTGCTGCCGTCTGGACATATAAACAAATCAGCTGCTACTTGCCCCAAACAACAATTGCATAAATCAATTTTTTCACAAGAAATTTACTGTTTTTTCTGTTTGCTGTTGCCAGCTCACAGTGCGTATGGATAGTTTGCACATGTAAATTTGATTAAAAGCTCGTTTTACCACCAGCTAACAAGCGGCAACAGACATAACCAGAAAATGAAGTGCTAAAAATGCATTTTCTGCCCCACTGCTGCTAATTTCCACTGTCTCGGCCAAAAAAGATGACGCCTCCACTTTTGATAAATGAAAGTAAAAGTACAAACACTTGCACTTCATAGATCATTAGCGGTGGTTGCTTTTCGTTTTTTGTGCGTTTGCCTGCGTTCAATGAACCAAGTGGCCATGTAAAAGTCATTAAAAATAGAAAACAAAACGAAACGAAACAAAACGATACGAAACCCATCAAAACTTGTTCTTTCACTTTCAATGTCACGCCACAGAGACCGCAGAAGACCTTCAACTTTTGGACCCACTCACCCCCGTGGGCACTGTTTCTTCCGCCTGGGAATTAATTGCGGCATAAAGCAAACATTTTGCGAGTCAATGTACATAATTTGAAAATCGTGCCAAAATAGATGCCATAGCAAACTCAATTTGCAGGCAGCAGGTGCAAGGAGTGCAGGGGGGAGCTCTCGGAGCTCTCGAAGCACAGGCAACACCCCCGCGAAAATCCAGTCAGATATATGTCTGCTGCTGGTTGTATCCACTGTAGTCATTTGTCTGCATGTCGCTTTGTTGAATTGTCTATTTGTTTGCCAAAAAGTGCCATGAAGACAACTCGTTGTTTGCTGCTGCGCTGCCCGAAAGCAATTTCATTTGCTGCCGCCGCCGCTGCTGCAACAAATTACTATCATTGCTGTTAATAGTTCATTAAGTCACGGACGGGAGATGTGGAAGCCATGTGGAATCACGGCTACACGGAACGTGAAACCGTAAAGCGAAAAACGTAAATAGTAAATAGTAAAACGTAAAACCCACTTCAATCCGCCGCACCGCACAGCACCGCACTTCAAGTGGCAGAATAATTGAGTGAACGGCAAGATAAACATTTCAATTTCGTTATTAAGTCATCAATTAGAGGAACCCAAATCGAACTGCAGGGTGATTCGGTTTTGATTTGAACTCCCGACCGGCAAATTGCCAACCATAAAAGTTTCGCAATTAAAACGTTGCAATAAAATGCGACTCTTTTGTTTCTGGGTTAGCATTTTATCGTTGGGCTCCATTGCTTTATTGCTAGTCATATGGTATTACAAAACATTATAATCTATGTCTATTTATATTACTTAAAGTAATAGCTAGTTAATGTATAAATGTGTATATCTGTTGAGGCAATTGGTTTTTATACCTATTTTTTACAAAGATTGTTTTGATGAGAATATATGGGGATAAGCAATAATAGAATATATTTCTAAAGTCTGTACATGCATATAGGCGCTCTTTTATTTAAAACATATAGATTAAGTTTATTTATGGCAGTTACTTGTTTATAGAAAAATGTAAATTTGATATTTGAATAACCACAAAAAGAAAATAACTAATTAAGAAGGAACTCGTTATAGCAAATATCGCAGCGTTCGACTGTTTGATGGCTTGCCTGCGACAAATTCAGAGGATTTCCCATCAATGCTGCTGGTTTATTTTCCTTTCCAAGAGATCCTCCGTAATTTTTTCTCATCACCCAAGGAGAAGTCCGTCGAGAACTGAGCAGGGAAGCTGTATAAGTGTGCCTGCCAGGACTGCAAGACCGCAGGGAATGCAGAGTGGCCGTAGATCCTCTGAGGATCTCCAATCTGGCCAGTGCCGCTTCCAAATCTGAGTCCTCGTAGCCCTCCATCACTACTTGATCCGGTGACTGGGTAAAGGATTTCATACTGGGTGTATTCAGACTGCTCATGGGTTGGATTATCACATCCAAATTGCCACTGTCTGAGGATTTGGCGCTGGAAGCACGCGATGTGGATGGTGATGGCATCTTTGAGGTGGAAACCGCAGCTTCTGGGGCTTCTGTCTTTTGAGGTGTATGAGGTATGAGGTTTGTTCGGCTTTGGGTTTCGCTACTGAGACTGAGATCTCGCTGAGGTAAATGTTCCGAAGAAATATGGTGTGATTGGCTGAGCTTCTCTGGCAGTTCATGGGCTTCATTTGTTTTTATAGGTTGTGATATTCTAAAGGGACTCTTATCTACTGTAACTGAACCAAATTCCATAAAAGACTGTTCTCTAGATCGGACTATCTGCTGTGCCATTGATTTTTGAACTCTTATTGGACTTTTATCTTCTCTGAAGGGATAAAATTCAGTATAGGAAGGCTCTCTAGATCTAACAGCATCCTTTTGTACTCTTAATGGACTCTTATTTTCTCTTAAGGAATCAAATTCAATATAGGACGGCTCTCTAGATCTAGCAGCATTCTTTGTCGAAGATTTTTGTACTCTTAGGTGACTTTTATCAGTTTTCCGGGACTCAAATTCTGTGTAGGATGGCTCTTTGGAAGATATATGCTTAGAAAGATGTTGTACCTTTGTTTTTGATTCTATGACAGGACTCCTTTGAGACCTTAACGAATCAAACTCAATTAAAGATGTTTCTCTAGAACGACCTAATTCCTTTGATAAAGGCTTTGGAATACCTAACGGGCTTTTATCCGCTTTGTTTCTTGGATGGTGTTGAGCTTTTGGTTTTAATCCTCTGAAAGGACTCTTTTGTAACGCATCAAATTCATTCAAAAATGGTTCCTGGGTGACCCTTAAAGGACTCTTGTTGGTTTTATGGGAGTCAAACTCCAAATGCGATGATTCTCTGGAAGAAATATATTTGGAAGTCTGCTTCTTGGATGGCTTTTCCTTTGTTGGGGTTATGGGTTGTACCGCTCGACGACCTCCGGTAACTAGAAGTTTCTCTCTTTCGGATCTCAAGGGCTGTGGGATAACCCCAGTGCTCATCCTGCGGCCATAACCGGGTTCCTCGGCCAGACGAGCCGGTCTGCCTCTCCCCCAACCGGAAATCCTTTCCGCTGGAGCCCTTTGGATCCCGGACCCAATGCGATTGGTCACTGGAAGACTGATGCGTTCGCGGTGTGGATTAAAATCAAAGGTCCTGGAAGAAGCGGCATTCGAGAGCCTGGAACTGGACCTTGAAATACTACCCGGCTGTTCGGAGCCCACGAACTTGGCAAACTCCCGCTGACCTCGACGCGTTGGGGCTGGAGTTATGTGGCCGCTGGACAAATCCGATTGAGAGGCACTCTGCGAGTTTCCACCGCTAAAGTGACCATCATAGTGGTTCGGCTTGTCCCGCAAACTCGTGTGATCCTGGTACACGGAGAACTTATTTTGGCTGTGGGCAAAGCTCTCATACGGCTTGAACTTCTTGCTTTTGGCCAATTGATCGGCGAACTTTTCCCACTCAGTAGTACTGGGTCTCTGCTGCTCTTGATCCTTTTTATCCTTTCCCAAGGACTTGCGACGCACTTTACGAGATCTGGAGGTTTTGTGAGTGAGTGTGTAAGGAATCGAATGCGGAAAGGTGTTGGTGTGTTAGTGAAGAGTCATCTGGATTTTATCCTTTATTGTGAGGTACTTAAGTTGTTTAGTAAGTGTCTGTGTAATGGTGGATTTTGCAAAACTTTTCGCATATATATACAAAATTGTTAAGCTGGACTCCATTTATTTAAATAGATCGGTACGAAAAATCTACTTAAATATTTGGATAAATTAGATTTTGTATTTTTTTTAACAATTCAACTTGCTTTACTTTAACAATTTATCTTGCGTACATTTCAATTAAAAAAAATAGGCATTCAACAATTTAAGAAGTGAATTACTATTGCTTGTGTGGTAAAAGGTTTATTATATATTATTAAAGGTTTATTAAAGGTTTTTCAATAACATAATGTTTTTCTTTAACTTTTAATATTGCTATCGCTGACATTTTCCATTTATTTACATATACCATATTTTAGCTTTCCTAGTTTTGCAAAAACACACATATCCGGCTAGCCGAACAAACTATAGATAGCCGTGTAAAATATTCAAAATATATTACCAATACTACATACAAGACTTTGCTGTTGCTTTTCTTGTTAGTTTGATTTGCTGATTTGGTCGCAAGTAAACAAAGGCAGGGTATATGATATGTACATAGAAGTAGAGTAAGTTTATTTACAATTTACATACAAGTCAAGAAGAGAGACAGAGAAGGAGAAGATAGTAATATGTTGATTAGGCTATAATAAATGTAAATATCGGGATGCTACGACGAGAACTACGAATCATAAGCGAACGTTGCAGGTACAAACTACGCGAAAACTTCAGGGTGCAGTGGCGCTACGGATTTACGGATTTGCGATGGGGCTACGGGGTTACGGTTACGGGTTAGCGGTTACGGATTTGCGATGCATCAGGTGCTCTCTAGGCCTACTTACTCCACGGGGGCGGAGGGCTCCGTTGGAGGGGCCTCAGCTGCAGGAGCGGATGACTCGGCGGTGGTGGCAACAGCAGGTGCCTCTGCCACCTGAGAGACCTCGGCACTCAGCTGGACCATCTCCTCCAGCGAGGGCTTCGGAGTGGGCGGACTCTCCTCCTCGTTGGCCAAGGCTCTTTCGATCTCGGGCTCCGGGGTCGAAGTCTTCAGGCTATCCGCATCTTCCTGAAGTTGGGGCGTCGCAGCCCGAGAATTGCTCAGCTTAGCCGCGGCCTCCTTTGCCTCGGGCTTTTCATCGGACTCGGGAGGCTTTTCCAGGTGCAGACCCTCCATCACCTTGTGCTTGGCCTCGTCCAGAGCCTGAGTGCCCTCCTTGAAGGCGTTGCCCAGCTCGTTGGTAATTCCCGCCACCGCCGTGCCAACGGTCTCCTTGGCCGTGTCCAAAGTGGTGGTCAGCGTCGCAGAGGCTTCTGCAAGGATCAAGGGGAATGGAAGCACTTTTATTTGCCATTTCCTTAGAGGAGTGCTACAGTAAAGTACACAAATGTGCAGTTCAAAAAATATTTGGATAGCCGCAAAGAATAAATGTCCGAGGACAAGCAAATGTGTAAAATATAAATCGTAGGATTTAAAAAAAATATTTTCTTTTTTTAATAAACAGAAACCAATAACGCTTTAAAGTCCTGCATTGCTAATATATTGAAGGTTTAAATGTTATTTATTTAGCCTTTAACATATTGTTTTAAATAAATGTCTTACAGCTAAAAAAGCACTGATCGTTTTTCTAAAAGATTTGAAATGTCTATAAATTTTTGTATCTTCTTTATAACACAGAGAACATAATACCGACTTAATAATACAATAGTACTTTTCCTCAGTGCACATGTACGTATTATATTTTTAAGTCAATGTTTTGCTCTAATTCGTTGACGGCTCGGTCACGCAACCAAGTCGTTTTTCTTCATATGCGTTAAATAAATGTATAAAAATATGGTCGGCTGATGGCAATTGGAGGCAGCTTTCACTTGCGACCCACTGCGGTGGAAAGGCGAAAAATCAGGCCGAAAGGCTCGGCGACACGCATTGCGCTGGCCAATTGTCCTTTATTACGTGGCTTGTTATTATAATAATGCGAAATGCGAGCACATTTATTACCTACATTGTGCCTGGATGTATCGAATTTCTTTTTGGCATTAAGTGGGAATTTACTTGCTCGTTGCTGGTGGCTGTAAATTAACTGGATTTAATATTGATTTGGGCAAGGGCCTTGACCCCTTACAGACGGCTTGTAAACTTTTTAAAATAATTGTAAGTAGTGAACTCTTTTTAAAAGTCATTAGTTCATTGGTCATTGTAATAATAAGTTCGTTTTTATTTATGTATTCTTATACGTTCTATACATAATAGATTATTACGAGTGCTCAGAAAATTCTATTGTATATTGTCCAATTGACCTATGTTAAATGTCATCTAACAACAAAAAAAAACTTGCATCTCTTTGGGTAGATCTAGGCCTATATTAGTCTGAACATTAAGTATACGCCCCGAATATCGAGTATACGTTTGCTGGCAGCTTGGAATTTCCCTTCGACTGCACACTCTTAAATGTCATCTGCTGTCCAAAACCAACTAATGGCCAACTAGGATTGGTAACACACACACACACACACTCACACACCTTCTACGGCGGCCTCGCCCTTCTGCTTGACATGGCTGGCGGCTTTCAGCATTTCGCTGCCCGCAGTTGCAACCATGGGAGTGCTGCTGGCACAGCCCATGACTTCTTCTCAATACTCGCCAGACAATCGCCGAATCATGCCGAATGGGGCCGGGAATCGATGTGGACTGTTCACAGACGTCGAGGATTTATTAATAACGAATATGAATATGAATTTGGAATGAAAAATACGCCCGCCTTTGGTCACGAACTCAACGCAACTGAACACTGACCCAAAACATTCGCTGCTAAAGTGAAGGGTCAATTCGGCACTCGACCACCTCCGACATTCTCCTTTCAGATCCCTACCATTGCCATTTGCTGGGCACGCAACAGGACCGGAGTGCTCTGCTCTGTTCTGTTCTGTTCTGAACTGAACTTAGCTGGACAAGACCTAGACCACTCCGAGCTCCACAGTTTGCATGTGCGTTCGCACTTCAAGTGAAGTCAAATTGTTGAGGTCATGCGCGTTGGGCGCACACTTACCATAGTTATAGTACGTAGTTATAGGCCAACGCTAAGGGGTTCTAGGTCTGGCCCAAAAAAAGGTGAGGTGTGCACGTGCAGGGACCTAGACCAATGCATACCTGGTGCCAATGTTCATTAATATTTGAATATAATTAATTTAAATAATAATTTGTAGTGGTAGCTTTAAATCAACAAACATCAGAATAACAATAAAATGTTTTTGCTAATAAGAATATTTATTTAAGTTTAATTTACCAAAAACATTAAATAAATGCATATGTTTTCTGTTTTTGCATTATAGTACAGAAAAAAGGTCGTTGGATTGTTCTTTGTACTTTCACTTACTTTATATATCAATTAAGCTACTAATATTTATAAATCTATTAATTCTACTTGATGTTTATAATAAGTTATTTAACAACATTTTACTTCAAAGTGAAATATGCGGGAACAGTCTTAAAACTTAATGCTTAAATTGGTAAGCTGAAAATATGTTGTACCCAATTTTAAATAATAGTACATCACAATTAGAAATTGTGCCAAGGAATAATTTTATATTGTTATATAATTTTTTGTTACAATTTACGGACAAACATCCTTTGAATTAAGTGTACAATAACAATACAATTCATTGTATCATTATTTTAATATGAGGAATATTTTATATTCAGCTAGAATTTTTGGGTCAATTGTGTACGGATCTTGAGCAGTTCTTGAAGACAAGTATACTCTCGTAACCCATAGGTACCTGGCATAAAAACAAAAACAAAATAAGGGAAAGTGAAAACAAGGCTTCATGTAGGTAATTGTTTGTGTGTGTGGGGCAGGGTGTCCAGATACGCTTAGTTTGCCCCATAGGTGGCGTGCCTTCGATTCCGCACTTGACGTGGGCTTGTGTGTAGGTCTGTTGGTCAATAAAAGCTTCATGCGGTTATTATTTTTAGAACGCTGCACGATTTTCAATTGTTGCTCTAATTTCCATATGGGTTTTTGCCCGTGCCCATGAATGAAGCGAAATATCCGGCTGGGTTGACAGTCCCAATCAGATAAGAGGTATGATATCGATTCGCCATATTCTGTTGTATGCAAATGCAGATTTGCAGCTAGTTTTGGCTCAGACCCACACCGCTTACAATTGCCCAGAGATGTTCGCAGACGGCCCTTCGCGAAAAATGATTTTTGATTTATTTTAGAGTGTACAGTCTTTGGTTTTTTTTTCGCAATCGATTGGCTCTTGTGGCGCTGAATGCCTATTTCTGCCGTTCGGTGATTTATGTCAGTCAAGCAGTGACAGCGCTTTTCATGAGCCAATAAAGTTGTCCATGTCGCTTTGTCATATTCATATATCATGGCCGTACACCCGGGGACTTATGTCATATGGTCCAAGAGCCCCAAAACTGGAGTACGAGTATCGCACAGAGCCTGCGCATAAACGAAGCCTAAGTGCGCGATCGAGAGACGTCGTCCGAGATGGTGACGGTGACAAAACACAATTTGGCCGGGCCAAACAAACAGACAGACAACTGAAACAAGTACAAACAAAGCAGCTCGAAAAGTCGCATATAAATCAGCACACGCAGCTGGTTCATTAGACTCTCCGTTCGGGCTCTTGGATCTGCCATTTGGCCTGACATTAATTATATAAGCTAAGCGACGCTTAATTATGTGCTCAACAATAGACCAAAAGTGCTCAAAACCCAGTCGACCACTCGCGTGATGTAATGCCCTCCCTATGCGAAAGTTTTGCCTGTCAAAAACTATGCAAGTACCCCGAATAAAGCTGGGTAATTAGGTTGTTGATGACCTCCGAATTTGACAAATGGGTCTCATTGGAAACAACATTCCGTCTTGTTTGATTTCATACAGAAATTGGAAAACGCTGCGTTTACAATGCTTGTTTTCCCAAAAAACACTAAAAAACTTATAATGGAAATAAAATAAAATCAGACCAAGGCAAAGAAAAAACAAATCATACTCGGGATATCGATCCCTTGAGAGTCGGCTTCCTGGTCTAGACATCTCCGACCGCTAGACAACGGTTTTTAAATACATCCTTTTTCATAATAAGAACATTTTTTCTCAAACTCAAAATTCAAGTACACATATTCTTAATTTAAGTTTTTTATTTAATTAGTACAAACATCCTCAATGCGAGTTAAATAGAAAATTTTCTATTTCTGAACGTCAAAACTGCCTCTGTGTAGTCTTATAGATTTTAAGCATAAACGGTTTTGTATAGGCGTGCTTTTTTATATATAATAATAATACCTTAATTTCTTTAATTTTTTAAATCAACTAAATCTTTTGTATACCCCAATAAAATAAGTGTTGAACATGTGTCATTTGAAAAGCCACCATAATCTTTATGGCTTTGCCCCATTAACATGTTCATGTCCCATAAATATGTTGGGAAAAAAAGATTTACACGAACATCGTAAAAATTTATTAATATTTTCAGGTATATAAAAATTTGACCCAGGAAGCTAAACTCAAATAGAAAGGGGGTGATAAAGATGTTCACAAGAACCGAATAAAGGGCTGTACAATGTGGGCGGCGAAATATGTTTTATGCGCACTGACAACCCACCATTTTGTTGCATCAAATTGTGGGCAGAGATCTAAAAAGTCTTAAAAAAAGTTCATACATAAACTGTTCCTACCTGTTGGATACGGTGGAGACCCTTTGCAATGTATTTAAATACCCTTAACAACAAACTTAGTTTTCCAGAGGCTTTAGATTAAACGATTTATTTATGTAACGGCATTCCAGCTAATATCAATAATTTTAAAGACTTACACATCTGACAGCTGCTGAAGGATCATTGCGATCAAGTTCAATGGATGACGGAACCTCATTAATTCTCGCAGCCCAATGCTAATGATAATACCATCGGTAAAAATAGCTTCCCTGCTTACATCTCTCTCTCTGGTGACATTTGTTCGCTCTCGCACTAATTTGCTTTATGATATCAATGAAATATCAGCATATATATATACCCATAAACTTTTATATATTTTTGGAGACACGGAATATATATGTTTTCCCTTCGAGAAAAGTCGGATTTTCTTCGGCTCTTCAGTCTTTCCTTGGCTCTCGACGGAAACGGTGCGTTCTCTTTAAAATAAAAAGATTCTAAATTTTGTATTCTTTAAAACTACGGAAAGATATATACATTGTATTATTAAATTTTTCAAATTAACTAAGCCATTAAATTATTCGAGAACTCTCATTATGAAAAGTGCTTGGCTTTACTGTAAAACTGTCCCTTTTAATTCCATGAAATACTTATGAGTATACGTAAAAAGTGTTGAACATGTGCTATTTATAAAGCCGCCTTAATCTTAATGGCTTTGCTCCTCTATATATCTCTTACATATATATATCTTGTCCCATAGATAAATTAAAGAACAAATAAAAAAAGAAACGAATGACGGGAAATTCAAATAATATTTTCTTTTTTATAAAATCCAAACCCAAGAAGTCATCAAAAGTGAGAGTGGAAAGGTGTAAGGAAGCTGTTCTGAAGGGATCGTGTATAGGGCTGCAGAATGTGGGCGGCTAAATATGTTTTATGCGCGCTGACATGCGTTGCATTTGCTACAGGTAAGTGTGGGCGGATCTTTGAAATATGTCATGAATGTGTGGAAAGGGAAATTTATTGGATAATTTAGGAGGAATTTTCGGATTATAAGCGATTATTACAGTGTATCTTGTGCCAATTTCGTTATACTTATCCAATAGTTGTAAAAATATCTTAATGAAAAAATAAAGATTTTATCAGTTATAGAATAGCTCCATTAAGCACCAACTTTAAAAAATAGATAGTTTGTAACAGTTAAAAACTAACATATATGTTTTTAATTGTTAATAGTTTTATAAAACACCTTAAAGTACTTCTAATGTATAAGTCTTTACAAAATTCACCAGAGATCAAACCTAGATTTATCGGTACAGCTGGACTCCCTGATTCCCAAATTTGTTGTACTGCAGCTTTTTTTTTAATTTATTACTTTTTTCACCCAATTTAACATACAAAATTTTAAGTGATTCATTGGAACGTATTTATAAATTTATTTCAGTATATCAGTTCGTCATAAAAACTTAGCTTTTACTTTGGTTTTACATTTTTTTTCCTTTTCGTCCATAAAAATGTCCACAAAATGGTCATAAAAGCCATTTGACTTAATTGCTTATGGAGCATGTATAATATAAATTTATATTTTTGTGACACGTTTTCGCAGGAAAATATTGTGTTATCCAGTAGTCATGGCTAACACGAGGCACCTATTCACCTAAACAAAATATTACTCACCAAATTACCGGCCGGCGTTTGGGAAAACATGCATACATATATGCCGATCGTAAATCAAAACAGAGAAAATCCCAAAATGAAAAATTAAACTCAAGAAAAAAAGCGGAAAAAGCTAGAATGGCAATGAAAAATCTATTGGCAACGAGTCAACTGATTGATTCACCCAGTTTTTATGGGTTTTCCTCTAAAGTAGGCGAGTGTTTTAGATTTTATTTGAGGCTCTTTTTTATATCTGGATGAGTGGGAACAGCTGTTTGAGGTATTAACTGAGAAATAAATTTTTTTATTATGTCGTATAAGGTGTATGGTAAAATAAAATAGTGTCCCTGGTACACGAAAAGACTTTTAAAAGCATAAAGTATTGATACCCTATTTAAAGCAGGATTTTTTAGATTACGCTTTATTTAAAAAGTAATTTTTAGAA